GGGTTTAGGGTTGAGGGTTTGGGTTGAGGGTTGAGGGTTTGGCGTTTAGGGTTTAGGGTTTAGGGTTGATATATGCTATATATAATCTTAGGATTTTTTGTCAGAATAACAACACTTAAGTGAGTGTTATTGTCCTTTTTCTTCTGCTTACCTTTTCAACTTTTCTTCTTACTGTTGGTACTGTTGGCCTTGTTAGTATCATGGTCATAACCATTATGACTACAGTTACTGGTAGGCTTCTTTCTAAGGCAAAGCCTAACCTATGTACACTTGCATGTGTTGCGGCCTAGTTTGTACGGCTTTTGCAGCCTAGAGCCTGAACCTTAAATCCCCAAGCCGTAATCCCTCAAGCCCCGTGAGACTTTTGGGTGTTGTGTGGTTATGTTATGTACTTCATAGGGTTTAGGGTTTAGGGTTGAGGGTTCAACCGGGTAGAATCGGTTGGCAAGGTTTTTGGCGTGAAAGGATTTGATTCCCGTACTCCCACACCCTAAACCCTCAACCCTAGACCCTAAATTACTAAACCTTCTTGCCTGGGTTCCCTTCCCCCCACAGCCTAGACCCCGGAGTCACAATCCTTAGGTTAAGAGGGTTTAGGGTTTAGGGTCTAATGCGCTACTCAATGCCCCACGCAGTCTCACGAAACAATCGGCTTCAGGCATAGTTAACCGGACCTGACCAACCCTAAACCCTAAATCTCCTAAACCCCAAATCTCCTAAACCCTAAACCCTCTCCGAAACCCAAATTCTCCTAAACCCTAAACCCTAAGTCTCCTAAACCCTAAACCCTATATCTCCTAAACCCTAAGTCTCCCAAACCCTAAACCCTCAACCCTAAGTCTCCCAAACCCTAAACCCTATATCTCCTAAACCCTAATTCTCCTAAACCTCCTAAGCCCTGAACCCGAAGGCCCCCTCAAAAAAAAACTAACATCCGCGAGCCGCGCGTCGCCGCTGCCTCTCCGCAGCTGCTGGCCCAAGCGCTTAGGGTTTAGGGTTTAGGGTTCAGGGTTTAGGGTTTAGGGTTTAGGGTTTAGGGTTTAGGGCTTAGGGTTTAGGGTTGAGGGTTTTGAATGATTTACCTTGGCATCCAAAAGCACACCGTGCTTAGAACCTACCATTTTGTGGGGTCAGGGGTCACAGGTAGTTGAGTTCCGTATTGTAATTCCTGATTAATGAAAGGCTGGGGGCTGAGGGTTCCTTCAGCACTCCCTGTAAGGGTTCCTGTGTTGGGCTGAAGCCTAAGCTTTGCTTAGGGTGTTGGTGTTTAGGGTTTAGAGTTGAGTGCTTCCAGGCCTGGGTATTTGTGGAAGAACTTGAGCTGCGATTTTGAACCCTAAACCTAAACCCTAAACCCTAAACCCGGGCAACCGTTCGAAGATGCTGTAGGATCACTTTGATGCGACTCCCGACTCTAGGAACAGGAGCTTCACACAAGCAAAGAAGCCCTATAAGCCCTAAACCCCAAACCATACTATCCTGATTTCGTTTGGAAAGCGAAAAAATAATCCACAACCCTGAACCAACCCAGAGAGCCTAAAGCATCGTAATGAAGGAAGACGCTTTAACTCTGGGTTCTACGGTCCCTGTGGCTGGAGGTAGATTCCCCAATTAAGGGGTATCGGGTTTAAAAAACCCTAAACCCTAAACCCTAAACCCTAAACCCTAAACCCTAAAGTTAAACCCTAAACCGGCAAGACCTCTCATGTTGAAAGTTCTGTTTCTGGACATCGACGGCGTGCTCCATCCCGTCGCAGAGCACGGCGACCTGTTTCTACCTGTGCCCTGCCCTGCAATGAAGTGGCCCAAACTCTGAGCCCTAAACCCCCAACTCTAAACCCTAAGCTCTAAATCCTAAGACCTAAACCTAAAAGTTTAAGCCCTGAGTTTGTCGACTTAGAGTAGGCGTCTTGCAATGCCTACTTGTCGTGTGGAGCTTCAGGGCGGAGCGTCTTCCTCTTTATTGCGGGTGGTCCTCAGGGTTTGGCGTCTTTAGGGCTCACGGTCTACCCTAGACTCTAAACCCCACACCCTAAACCCTAAACCCTAAACCCTAAACCTACGCCCTACACCCTAAACGGCACCGGCAAGATCAGAAACTCTGCAGAACGGATTCCTTGAGGCTGCTTTTCGGGTTTGGGGGTCTGGGCTTCAGGGTCCACGGACCCTAGAAACCCTGCTCCCTTAGGTGTAGGGTTTAGGGTTTAGGGTTTAGGGTTTTGGGTTAAGTTCTGGGTTTTGGCCCGGAAACCCTTCTAAAACGAGGCTGGGATTGCTGTAAAGTCCTACAAACCCCTGCGAGACCCTTGTAGAATCCTCAACCCTCAACCCTGGACCCAAGCCCTATATCCAAAGCCCGCCCGCGGAGATCGGCTTCCTTAAGGAACCTTTTGATGGAACCCTTGCCACCCTTCAAGGATCCTTTGCTTGGAGGTTCATGGGTAGTTATAAGTGGGGTTATAGGGTTTAGGGTTTAGGGTTTAGGGTTTAGGGTTTAGGGTTTAGGGTTTAGGGTTTAGGGTTTAGGGTTTAGGGTTCGGGTAGCTGTAATGATATCCCATGTTAGGGGACTTATAACCCCATGTATAACTACCCATGAACCTCCAGGTATACCCTAAACCCTAAGCACCTTCAAAGGAGCCCTCTCAGGACCGCTTGAAGGAACCTTGAAAGAAACGCTCAACGTAACCTTACAAAACCCGATGGTAACCCTGCGGCACCCTGCTATATACCACACAAAACCCTATAAAGCCCGTTTAGCGACCCTTAACCCTAAACCCTAAACCCACAACCCTATAAACCCTAAACCCTTAACCTAAAGCCCCTGTGAGCCTCTCGTTAAGAAATTTAAATAAAATCCTCATGAACACCATCTCAAGAATCCTTTAAAGCCAGGGTTGAGGGTTTAGGGTTTAGGGTAAACATCGGACGGAATGTACCCTAAACCCTAAACCCTAAACCCTAAACCCTAGACCCTAAACCCCATGGGCCGTCTTTCAGAACTTAAAAGGCCTTCTAGGAAACTCAGGACCGACTGTACTTGCTGAAGCAGCTCATCACCCGCAGCCGTGCGGAGGCCTCTCCGCTTTCGGGTGGGGGGTTTTGTGCTAGGAATTCGGAAATCTGGGGTTTAGGGTCTAGAGGATTTGGTTTAGGTGTTGAGGGTTTAGGGTGTAGGGATTAGGGATTTAGGGTCTCGTGAAAAGGTTGATACAGCCTTGTTGAAGTTTGACGGGTTTTATGAGCTGTTTCGGGTTCTAAGGTTGAGAATTTTTTATGGTTTCAGGAGCTTAGGGTTTGTTTTTCTAGCCCTGAGCCCTGAACCCTAAACCCTCAAGGTTTCAGGTTTTGGGGCTACAGGCTGCAAGGTAGGGGGCTTACTTGCAGGTTCATGGGTAGTTACAAGTGGTGTAACTATAATTCTAACCCTAATTAGGCGACTTATAACCCTAAGCCCTAAACCCTAAACCATAAACTCTAAACCCTAAACCCCCATTAGGCGACTTATAACCCCACTTATAACTACCCATGAACCTCTAAGTAGCCCTAAACCCTAAACCCTAAGCCCTAAACCCTAAACCCTAAAGCCCAATTAGGCGACTTATAACCCCACTTATAACTACCCATGAACCTCTAAGTAGCCCTAAACCCTAAACCCCAAGCCCTAAACCCTAAGCCCTAAACCCTAAACCCCAATTAGGCGACTTTTAACCCCACTTATAACTACCCATGAACCTCCAAGAAGCCCTAAACCCTAAACCC